GCCGCGGGGAGGAGGCGGCTGCTTTCCGGTGCCTGATGATGGTGGAGTTGATTTGGGTGCTTTTTCCTCAGGTTGGAGGCCGAGAAGACCTCACTCCTCAGGCAATTCCCTTGAAATGCGCAGGAATTGGGTGCTTTAACCAAAGGAAACGACGAGCTTGGGTTTATTTCTGAGGTGCTTTTCTCCCTGGGCTTCCCTTGGGCTCCCCTCTGCCTGTGGTGGTGGGTGTGCAGGGTGGGAGGCTGAAATTAACCCCAGCCATCTCGGCCGTAAAGACCAGTTTGGAAACAAAATAAATGCAGAAACTCTCCGAGCTCTAAGTTAAGCTCTTGGTTTCCTCTAAGGGTCTTTCTAATGAGTTGTGTGGTAAAATGGAGAGGGTCCCTCGTGCTTCTCGGAATGGCTGCAGACTTCACCCAGCGTTTCTGCTCCCCAAATCTCATCAGCTAATAAGAATGAATAACTAAATGCTTCATTTAAGAGCCCTGCAAGGGCCCTGTCTGTGGGATAGCGCTGACTCCTGCCCACAGACACCAGAATTCCGTTGAAGCCACCTTACACTAGAGGCCGAAATCGGAGTGCAGGCATGGAGGTCTCTTTCTCGGGGCTCTACGAGCTGCTGGCTCTTTGTAGGCCGCTTGTAGCAGGAGTTAGTTGGTACGTGGTGACACCAGGTGAAGCCTGTGGCTTTCACGTGGCAAACCAAGCAGGTTTGGGGAGGTTTTGCGGCTTAGGAGTGACTCGGGCTGAGATTTGGGCTCTCGGTGCTGCCCACCCGGGCGAGGCAGCAAACCTCGTACAGGCCACGGCGCTGGTCTCGCAGCTTCCCTTCGGCTTTCTCCATCCTGGTGGAGTTTGTGACTGTGTTGTGGGACTCCCAGGTCAGGTAAAAAAAGTCCCCAGCCACCTCCATCCTCCTGCGTGACCCCCCCCGCCATCGCAGCAGGAGACCCTGCTGCACTGACCAGAGCGCTGCGGGACCCCGAGGCTGCCCGTCTGCCTGTTCTTCCCCGCCCCCAGTCTGGGCTGAGGAGCTCGCAGAGGTGCTGTCAGGCTGTTCTGTCGCTCGTCTCTGTTCCCTGGGGCTTTTCTGGGCTCCCAGAAAAGTCTTTACAGCTTTTCCCATCTCAGCTCTGCCCCCTGTTCCCCTGAGAAGCACCTTCTGCTCGTGCTGCCTCCGCCCTCGCTGTGTTTGCAGCAGTATCCGTGGGTTCAGGACTCTCTGTGCTGTCACATCTTCCTCTGCTCACGCCGTGGCCACAGGCAGCTCTTGCGTGACACCTCTGGGCGTTCTCCCTCTGGGCTGGTGAAGACCCTGTCTTCTCCAGCGGGGAGCTGGGCTGGTGAGAGCTGGGGATCCTGAATCCTGTTTTCGCTGGAGCTGTGACTCCCCTTTCCTGGGGTGTAGGACAGCACAGGAGCATTTCTTTAAGGAATTCTGTTTTCAGCACGTCTTTGCAGAAGGTACTAGAGAGCGAACCTCGGTGGTGCAGGGTGAGAAGGTGAGGTCCAAAGAGATACGGGCAGGGAGTTGAGCCCTGGGTGTGGGCAGGGAATCGAGCAAGTTGGAGGCCGGCTGTCGGGCAGCGTTTTCTCTTAATCTCTGCTTCCATCGCCTGACCTCCTGCCTTGACTCCCTCAAAACCTACAGTGCCACCTCTGAGCGCCTGGCAGGGCTTCCCTCCGCTCTGCCTGTCGTGCCACAGAGCCCTGTGGCTTAAAGGAGACCCAGTGCCCAGCGCTGGGCAAATACCGACTGAAAAGTCCCCCGAGAAGGCTGCCACCCAGTAACGAGTCCAGGCCCCCCCAGTGCGCCAGGAGAGGGTCAGCTGCTGTTCAAGGGAGAGTTGTAGGTGTTCAGGAGCAAGCTCGAGGCAGTTCCCTCGTGTTGGGGAAGAGATCCTGACTTTAATGACATCCAGGAAGCACCCCTGCAAAAATATTTCCTTAACTGTGCATCTTGCGACCCAGGCGGGAGCATCCCATCAGGCATCCTTCAGGAGAAACTGCTGGATCCCTGGGGAAGGAAAGTGCTCGGTGTTTCTGCTCGTTGAAGGTGGCTCCTGGTTGGCAAAGGAGCTTTACAGACCGTACCCGAGCCACGCTGCTCGTGGGGCCGTTGCACGTCACCCACTTCCACACCTTCCGTCGTGGTTTCGCTGGCCTCTCTAGCAGGAGACAGCAGGTCCCTGCTCCCCCCGCCAGGGACGCAGAGGACACCCGGGGGAAGAGAAACCGTTTCACAAGAGCACAGCAGGCTCTGTCTCCTCTCCTGCCATGATTTGGGCACGGAGGAACCCTGTGAGGTGAAGCCCTGCTGCTGGCGGGGGACCCGCTGACCCCCTTCCCGCTTTGCTCTCTCCCCAGTAAAGGCGCAGTGCAGGCTGTTCAGGCCCAGAACCAGATCTGCGTCCTCGACATCGACATCCAGGGCGTGAAGAACATCAAGAGGACGGACCTCAACCCCATCTACATCTCCGTGCAGCCGCCGTCCATAGACGTCTTGGTGAGCCACCGCCTTCCTTTGCCCTTAGGCAGTTGGAGGGAATCGGCCTCTCGCTCGGAAGCCACGGGGGGTGGTGGGGGGGGGTGGTTTCCCCCTCGTGGGTTCCTCTCTGTTTTTTTTCAGGCCTGTAGAATGGGTGGGGAGGACATTTCGGAGCAGACCTACCTCTGCCCAGTCCGGCTCCCCAGTGTTCTGGCTCCCCAGGGATGGAGAAATCTCCCTGTGCTCTTGTTTTGTTGAGTCCCTCCCGTACGGTTTCCACGCCTTGGCGCGTTTACCTCGCGGCGTGGTGTCACGGGTTGAGGCAGGGCCGGCCACTGACGAATGGCAGACGCTCTCTACTAACCCCTC